AACAGACAAGTATGTTATATCGTGTTCAAAAGTGAGAAGAAGAGTTGTTTGAACAGGATAATTGTAGGAGGAGTATTGGCAAGCATTAGGCATGGTGGGCTGGAAATCAGGAACATGTTCCTGGATGATATGACCTTTGATAAAAAGTTTCAAAACCGCTATAAGGCTTTGAAGGACGGAGGCAAAGGGAAGGTTTTCTAGAAGAAAGAGCATTGTGAGTAAATGATGCCAACAGATTGGAAATTAGGAGGTCATATTTGGAGAACAGGAAGTGACCTTGTCAACAATTAATTAAATTAGAGTATTTTCTATATTAGATTTAAGTCAGAGTAATGTCTAATTAAAATTAGAAATATATTTTTGATTAGTAGTAGGAAATAGCCTGGAAAGATCAAGTTGTGGAAAGATTAAAATTTTATTCAGAGCTGTATTATTCGTCACTAAATAAAAATGACTAATTATGGAATGTATTTGAGGTCAAGACTCCTGGAACTGGATTTTTACACTACTTTGGATTGATATTAGAATTCTAGGGAAGTGGACATGCATCTGAGCGAGCCACACATCCTGCGGTCTCACAGACTCTCACCTGTATCCGTTCTACTTCTAGAAAGGTTGCTGTCTGGAACGCTCTTTCCCACTGGGCGAGGTCACTTTCCAGCTCTACTGAGAAGTACAGGTCCTCCCCAGACTCAGACTGCACGGTGAAACAGTGTTTCCGTCGGTCCAGCAGGTCACTGTCCTGGTGAAAACCTGGAGTTACACAGGCTGGCACACATCACTTCACATTGCTAACCTGGCCATTCCTGACTGGTGCAAGGTGTGGAAGCCACAGGTAAAAAGATAACACTCTGTGAATTCACCATGTCTTCATTACAAATTATTCCAGAACTCCGGGCTTCAAAGCCAATAACTAACACATGACTTCTCTGTCTTTACACTGAAGCATGTCCGTAAAATAGAAGTTAGGGTTTCTGGCTTCAACTCTTACCAACAATATAACCACCAAAGCATTTAACATACAAGACTTGGTTTATTACTGTTCAAAGGGGTGACACACTAACTCTTCCCTTCCTTACATAAATGTTATGATGTTGAAATTAAATAATGCTTGTGAACATGTTTGTAAATTTTAAGGAACTTTATAAGCAAACTGAAATATTCTTCTCCATGAGAAATGAAAAAGAAAATGAGTCTAATTTGTCTACAGCACTAATATTACTTTAAAAAAACACATTATTTACCTTACTTGTGTAACTGTATTTCATTGTACCAAAAAGATGACTTTGATGCTAACAATTTCTTGGTCTTACAAGGAATTTTCAACTAAAGTATTCACAAATTTACATGTATTCCAATTTAAGAGATTTTAACATAAGAAAAAAAAATGAAGCAAATAATTTATGAAATAGAGTAACTCAATGCAACATGTCAGATATAGCATTTTAAATACAGTCATGTGCCGCAGAAGGACGATTCGGTTAATGATAACCTGTATATTCAACAGTGATCCTATAAGGTTATAATGGAGCTGAAAAATTCCTATTCTCTAGCAATGTCGTAGCCGTTGTAGTGTCATGGAGCAATGCATTACTCATGTGTTTGTGGTCATGCTGGTATAAACAAACCTGCTGTGCTGACAGCTATATAAGTCTGGCACATATGATTATGATATATGCTACATAATAATCATGATAAGAAAGACTATGCTACTGGTTTATGTATTTACTGTATTATAGTTTTATTGAATTTTTTAGTGTACTCCTTCTATTTATTAAAAAAAATAGTTAACTATAAAACAGGCTCAGGCAGTTTCTCAGAAGGTATCCAGATGGCAGCATCATTACCATCAGAGATGACAGCTGCATGCGTGTTATTGCCCCTGAAGATCTTACAGTGGGACAAGATGTGATGGTAGAAGACAGTGATATTGGACATCCTGACTCTGTGTAGAACAAGGCTCATGTGTGTTTTTCTGTCTTATTTTTAAAAAAAAAATTTAAAAAGTCAAAAATAAAAAATACATTTTTAAATTTAAAAGTAGAAAAAAAAGTAGAGAATAAGGATATAGAATAATTTTGTACAGCTGCATAACATGTTTGTTTTAAGTTAAGCACTTTTACAAAAAAGTCCAAAGTTGAAAAAATTAAGTTTGTAAAGTAAAATATATTACAGTAAGCTAAGGTTAATTTATTATTGAAGAAAAACATTATTTTTTATAAATGTAGTATAGCCTAAGTGTTCAGTGTTTACAAAGTCTATAGTGCTGTACAGTAACAGCCTAGGCCTTCACATTCACTCACCACTCACTCACTGACTCACCCACAGCAACTTCCATCCTGCAAGCTCCATTCATGGTAAGTGTCCTGTACCTGTGTATCATGTTTTCAAAATCTTTTAGACTGTACTTTTACTTTACTTTTTCTATGTGTAGATGTGTTTAAACAACTACCATTGTGTTACTTTTGCCTACAGTATTCAGTATATTCATATGCTATAC